TCTTTTTTGAGGGCATGTGTGGTTTTTTCTTCTGTTCCCACTCTTCGGGAGTGAAAAGAGTGGAGGTAGATCCTTCATAGGTGGAGGAGTATAAAGGTCATGTTTGGGAAAGTTGTGTATTAGAGAAAGTTGATATGTTTGCCATCAAAGTCAAAGTTTGAGAACCATTCTGCCCATCTGAGATGTTGAGAGTTTGGAATCTGCTTTTTCTTAAAAGAAAGCATTTTTTGAAAAGTTGGCATGTCCATTTCTATCAAGAATTTATGTCCAATAAGATGGAACTGGAATTTTTCAATTTCCCTTTTTACTGCAAGAATTTCCTTAAAGGTAGAATGATAATGCTTCTCCGATTTTAAAAATGAACAATCAGACTCCAGGAGCAAGGTGTGGATGGAGGTCTTGCGATTTTGCAAATTGTATTCCCTCCAAGATAGCGTAGCACTCAGGTAGAAAAAGGAGAAATCAAGCAACGTAAAAACTTGCCCTTCATGGTCACGCACCACTCCTCCAACACCGTAACCATCACCATCCAATGTAAGATCTGCATCCACATTTAGCTTCAATTTTCTTGGGGGGCTGAACCTGTCTACATTGAGAAGAAACATTAGAAGCGATGGGCTCATTATGGAGCAGTTTAGGCGACTGGAACCAAATAAATAATCTGACGAATCATGCACCACTAAAGTTTTTATTCACATATTTCATATGATCCACAATTTAGTATCTACTTATCATATATATATTGAGTAGAATCCATAGCTTAGAAACACTTAAAAAACGCTACCAAACAAGCATTTACTCATTTTACAGCATACTTCACCACTAAAGTTTATTTCTCACTTTATCATCAAGTGTCACGATTTAATCACTATACCAGTTAAAAACCGTCTACAACATATCTCCAATTTCATATCAGCACATGAAGAACTTGATTAATAATTGAGAAAAAAAAAACATGAATACATCGAAAATAACTAAAAAGCGTATAAATATTATCTAAGACAGAAGAAATTTGTTTCAAATTTTAAATAGTACGAACCAAGTTATGTGGGTGCGTGGCCCCTTCGAAATCAAGAAGAGACCAAATGCTTGATTATATTAGGTTTTAGCATAAATTTATCAACTCATTTTGGGGAGACAACTTATTTTAAATTTTGAAAAATATTTCCTTTACCTTAAAAGTCATAGCATGAAAGGAACATTATAATGTCATGTTCTCATTGTTGTTATTAGTCATAATCACGTCCCACGTATTGGAAGGTGCAATTAATATTTAATACTCACAAAATGACGTAATCTTTAACCACAAATTTGGTCAATTACAGAACACAAGAAAGCTATATGTTTTATAGCACAAGAAAAGGAAATTTTTTTTTAAAAAAAAAAGTCATTAATTTACTCACTCACCTAACACGCATTTAATGTTTTGAAAGTGAATAAATTAAAATTTAAGTAATTATAAGATGCGGGCCCCATAAAATATGTAGATAATAAATGCCTTATAATTGTGACCTCGAAATGTGTGGATAGAAACTATATTTGACCAAAAATGCTTAATATTTAATAAATTCAATGAATCTGAGAGTGTAAACAAGAGATATTAACTTTCAATGTTGTAAAGAAAAGTTATATAATCGATGTTAAATTTATAATAACTAGTTTATTATTGTTACATGAGACATAAAAGAATCACCACAAATAATGTTTTTTTCTTTATTAGGAGAATATTTTGTTGCAATTCTTTTTTCTTTCAGCGATAGCAAAACGTTTTTGAGTTATGCTACATGTACCGAATTTTTATACCAAATTTTTTACACCCCACTCACATTAGGAGGTGGGGACCAGAAGCTGGAATTTTCAAATACGTATGTGGCTCGCAAGCATTGTGAGAGGGGGGACACCACTCGGTACGTTTAGACTAATTCAACGTTTTTTCTTCTTCTACTTCTTGTTTTTCCCCTTTAACGTGAAGATTAGTGATCGTAAAATGTAAAAGATAAATCATTATAGATGTATATTCAAAACAAATAATCTATCATCGAAATATGTTTACAACAAAATCAACATGTTGTTTGTCCAGAATAACTTTCAGTGACAAACTCTTTATTCCGTCTCTATAATAGTATATATTTTTTCATTGAAAAACATTGTCATAAATTCTTAGTGAAGTTGGATCATTTAACTACTATCACATTGTAATTATGATACAAAAAATATGAGTGAACTGAAAATTGTGTTAATGTTAGAAAGGCAATGTTAAGGGATAAATTTCACATTTGTTAAATATCGAAATATTAACCAACATATAAAGGTTTAAACTATTTCAATTATCAAAGTTGACATTTTAAGATGCAACCTCAAATCTTAAATTTTATTTGAAATTAATATGGCAATGGAACGATACTTATATGTTTTTATGGATCATTGTTTGTGTGTGGATATATTTTATTTGGTTAGAATACACCTTTAAAAGATCGCCATGAGCAAGGTTTGTTTGTACATTCATTGTTTTCTTGTATTCATAAACGATTGGTTGATGTTCTTAATAATTAGTCTTCTTGTCTCATGATATTAGGCAAATAGTTTATTCAATTTTTTTTGGCACGTTTAGTATTTTGGATACTGAGAAAGAAAGAGTCATGGGCGCCCGTCCTTTATTAGGCAATCCAATATACATTATGATACCGAATCATTTTATTCAAAAGTTTAAGTTTGGACAAATTTAATTATTCAAGTTTTTTCTTAAAATGCCATTTAAGTGCTTGACGGAACGTTGCACATACATAATTTTTATAAATGGTGACAACAAAACTTGATCGTCGAATGTTTTGCATGTTATAATCAATTGTCTGAATTAAAAGTTCAGACTGCGCGTAAAAACACTCGTATTTAGCATATACAACATTATCAACATTCGTTAATTTAGTAGTTAAACTTACTCCTCTCTCTTTTCCAGTCTTGAATAATTGGGACATTTGGAATGTCAAAAGGAACATGAAATACTTAGGGTGAATAACATCATTTCAAAAGTGATTTTCCATAAACATTTCACCCTCTTTAACCATTGCAGCAAAGGTAATGATTGAAGTAAATAAGCCTCTTGACCTTGATTGATTGATGTCCTCAATATTCATGATCTTTGGGTGGCAACTTTTATTGGCTAGTTGAGGATGGGATGTACTCTGAAGAATCCTAGACTCAATCATGCTACATGTATACTCGTGTATATCTTTCTTTATATTCTGTCACATGGCACCATCATACCCTTTGATTTTTCCAATAATCTCTCTTTCTTTCCCATATTATGCCACGTGAGGGAGAGTGTAAAGCTAAATGTATACAAGAATGTACATCTAACATAATTCATCATAGAATATGGATTGCATCTTCTTCACACCAATATTTTCGGGGAAAATGGCCTGTTTGGTCCTCAATTTAGGATTAGGAGAGAGTTGTGATTGTACATATTTCTGAAATAATTAACATCTTTAATGGTCGCGAAGAAATTGGCCATTTGGACATGTTGCACAGATCCACATCACCTATGTAGGTAACAAAACCAAGCTTGATCGACTGGTCGAGCTCGAGCACCCATACCCACATTTGACTAGTATCTAAGCTATGGCACCTACACCCAAGCTCGATCGAAGCGGTCGAGCTCGAGTACAACCACCACTTCGGTCAAGCTCGGACACCTTAGCTCGAGTCCAACCAATTTGGCTAAGCTCGAGACATCGAGCTCATGCATTTCTATTGGGGCTCAACCATGTGGCCTTGCTTGGCCCTCCTCTGTAAACATGATAACATGGTCAAGCTCATGCATGTCAACTCAAGCTCAAACACTCATATTAACGCTAAAAGAATCTCCTCGAGCAAATTGGGGTTCTCCCTACTTAATTCAGCCTAGTCATGCCTTAAGAATGATCTCGTATGATCCACTCATTTCCAAGAGAGATACTTGGGTAGGACGATCACACCGCCCTACGTGGTGCGACCGTCCAATGAGGAGCTGCCACCTCATCATATGTCCTAACCTCACCCATGAGGTGAGGCCACCTCAAGGCTTGAGCTTCTCTCTTTTTCCGCCTTTAAGTCTCGAGGTGGCCTCACCTCATTGGGTGATGTTGAGCCATTTGATGAGGTAGCCACTCATTGACGACCGCACCACATAGGACGGTGCATCATACTCGAGTATTTCTCCATTTTTGGACAAACTCATCATATTTTGTCTCATGTTTAGATCTCACGATAAGTCTCCATATACTTCATACCTTGTTCTTTATATATTTCCTCCGTTCCAATTATAAAGGCTGAGTTTCATTTTTCTTTTTTCCCAAATATAAGCATATTTCCTAATGTAGAATATTTTGTCGTGTTCATTTTCTAATATATCATTATTAAATTTTTCTCACTTAATATGTCAACTTCTTGAAATCATCCAAATACACACATTTCCCACTTCTTAGAAATATGGAACAATTATCGTGTCTTCTTCTTCTTCTTTAAATTTTTTATTAGTTCTAACAATAATTTAATTTTACATACTGAAAATTAAAAATTAAATATGGGTAGGAAAGATATTGGCAAAAATTAATTTTTCAATGATATTAAAGAAACTTCTTAATCCATGTGAAAAATGAAACAAACCTATATAATTGGGACATAGTGAGTATGAATTATCTCTTCAAATATTTTCCCCAAAAAATCAATCTATTATGAGGGAAACGAGATAGAGGACTCAAACCTGTCCATCTTTCCAGATATTGAGTAGTTTGGGACAACTGCTGGGGATGAATCTTAACCGCCTATCACCAGGAAGGACGATTGCCAAGGGAACCAGCGTTCGGGTCAGTGAACTTTTGATTTAATAACAATTAAGTTACTCATACAAGAGAAGTTGCCGATGTGGAAGTTAAAACTAACAGTTGCTGACGTGTCCTTCCATGTCAATCACCCCACTACTTATTCAAATACAAACCCATGTCCCCACCAAATTAAAAAACCCAATACCCGGTTCAAACCATAAATCAGCGTGCTTCTACAAAGAAAATTGGAAACTCAAGTTGTTTTTATAGAGAAAAGAGGTAAAGCAAATCAAGTCATCATCAGATTCAATTTTTGTCTGGGTTTCTGTGTTTCTTGATTAAGTCGTGGTGTTGGTTGGTGCTGCCATTGCTGAAGTTATGTGATGGAAAAGCTCCACAAGTAGAAGATGAAGGGAATAGAATAAAGAATCAAAGGAGAAAGCATTAGCTTATAATCAAGGCAAAACGCAAAAGTTACTGGTTGCTTCTCCTTTATTTTTTCAACAACGTCCTTCCTAATTAAACAGCATCAAAAGGTATGTGCCACTGCATTTCAAATTTGCTGTCGAACCATTTCAGTGAGCTTCTCCGTGAGCTATTTCATATAATCATCAAACAAAAACTGCTGAAAGCCTGGCTTTGCCTCAATACACGTCTGTTAATAACAAACTAATGATTAAAAAATCAAAACCTTGGATAGGTGTGTTAAAGGGAACATCTACTCAATCTCCAGTCCTCTAGAAACCAATCTCACTGGTCTTCTCCTTCTCAAATGTCTCAAAATACTGATATATGATAGTGACGGCTAGCAGAATCCCGATCCCTGAACCAATTGCCCCTATGAGATCAGCCAACACAGTTAGTCCGCCAATGCACATGTCATCAAAGGCTGCTGCAGTAGGTATATAGCGGTTCAGCTCCTTCTGTAGATTTGATTCCTGTTGTCCAGGCATCACCATTTGTTGTTCCTGAATTTCATGGAAATACATGTTTTGGGTTGCTGAGGATACATTTACAAGAGAGATAATGAAACTTGGATACTTCTTACTCTATGATTGTGTCAACTGACAGACCCATATGAAGAAAAGTAAAGATACGTAGGTTTATGTATATATGAAGCTGATGAATGATGATGATTAAAATGTTTTATTTTTCATGTAACACATTATTCTGGGAAGTAATTAAATAGGGAATACTAATAATCCTGAAATTCATGGATGAACATGATATAACAGAGAAAATATTTGAATTGCACATAAATCATACCTTTAGCTGCTTAGCCACATCTCTAGCCGAGGATCTTGAGACCTCAATGCACGTTTTTCAGAACAGATCACATGCTGACAGCATAAATACAATATAAAATAGTCCATGCAATGGATTGGCCAATATATCCGACAAGCTGGAAAACAGCAGTAATGAGTATAGGCCCAACTAAAACAAATAAGTTCAATCCATCGACTGAAGTATACAAAAAAAATATATTAGTTAAACGGGCAGCTGCAATGATAGAAATAAGGGAAGATTCTTGATTACCTTGATCATGCAGATGCAGTTATGGAATGAGCAAGACCACTAACAGGGACCGACTGGCCAGATTATTCAGATTCCTTCCACTTCCCCAAGAGGTTCACCAGAAAATTCCCACCATATCTCCTATACAGCAACTGTATAGGTAAATTGAGATTAGATTGTGAGGATAGTAAAGAGAAGTAGATCGCTCCAACTTGTTCATATAAACAAAAACGTCAGTACCTGGGAAATGAAGTAAAGATTGGATACAAGTGCAGACTGCAAAATGACGGGCATATTGGAAGTATAGAACAACTTAATTGGATATGAACCCTGTTGCCCACGTGCGTTCTTCGGCCTCGCAGGGGAAACCACACGGAACCCTTGAAAGTAGATGACAATGAGGAAGACTAAAATGGTAGCAATCTAGTTTGTAACATTTGGAATGTTCTGCCTGTAGAATGCCTCTCGCAGAGCACGAACTTTGTCTGTTCGAGTTATCAACAAATGGAACATCGCAATAACAGCACCTTCAAATTCAGCTCTACGTCCACTGTTGATAGTGGTAGGGCTAAAAGCTTTCCAAATGATGCTTTCGCTATCAATGAAGAAAACAGTATAGATATAAATATCCTTTATTTTAGGCAAAACCAAGGGGCAAAAAATAGATTAAATGAATAATAGCTGACCAAATATTGGTTGCTATGAAGAGTGAAATTCCAAACCCCAGTCCATATCCTTTTTGGAGAAGCTCATCCATACAAATTACAATGATACCAGCAAAGCGACCAATAGGTTTTTAGGTATAAGTTGTTCTATACTGCAAATTATATTGGAAGTATAGAACAAAAAGTTTTAAATATGGAGTTTTCAGCGATTTCCAATAGGTATGGGTATATCGCAAAAAAAATAAAAACATTTTAGGGGGTTTTCTGCTATTAATCTTTTTATTTATATAAATATAATTCTGGAATGCGTTCTTCAAGCTTTGGCTAAAATTGTAAAAGTGGTTTTCACGGATTACGCCACGTACCCAATAGATGAAAGACGCATTGATTTCATAACCCGCACAAGGTTTTTATTTTGAGCATTATTTTAAGAAAATGAAATTTTAAATATTGATTTTTTATAGAATGTGATTAAAAATTGGGAAAAAAAATTAAATTTACGTGTAAAATATTTTATTATATAAATATGTGATTAAAATGAGTATGAGAATTAAAAATTTGAAATAATGGTTGTAAAATAGGAACTTAATTTGTAATCCCATTATTGAAAGAAAAAATTGTAGCTGCAATCCCAAATCTTTCAATTTAATGCACACTATACTCAAATATTTTTTTATTTATGTCACCTATAGTATCATACCTTTAATTTTGTTGCAGTAGAAATGCAAATTGAAGGATTTCGTCCATTCTACCCTTAGTTGATAAAAAAGAGTTATTTTTGACCTATTTTTAAATTGTAAACTTACATTTTCTTAAATAAAATAATTAAATAAAAAATGCACCCGAACCCCCACCCAATCCACCCTCAAAACTTTATCTACAAACCGTAAATTTATCATATTTTCCTTTTAAAATTAACTAAAAATAATTAAAATCACCTTTTTTTTTTATCAACTAATGATGAAATGGACGGAATTTGTCCTTTCTCTGAAATAAAATTAAATGTTCTGAACTGTGAATGTCATAAATGAAAAATTTGGGTATAATCTATAATAAATAAAAAGATTTAGAGCTTGTTTGAACCCCATTTTAGTGTAAAATGCATTTTGAAATAGTTGACTGATAGAGAAAGTGTGATTGAAAAAAAAGGAAACTTTTTAGATTTTGCGTGTAATGTTATTTTATTAAAGAATGTGTGGTTAAAAAGAAAAGAATAAAAAATATATTTTAAAATAATGAGGATCAAACAAGTGCTTAAGATCGTAGCTATAATTAAAATAAGAGCATCTCACATAAACTCTTTATTTTTAAAGAGTTTATTCTACCATTTGTAGAATATCTATAAATTTAGAGAGTTAAAATTTTGAAATACTCCGACAATCTCTTTATATTTAACACTTAATTTTACTACTCCCAAAAAATATTTATTATTTTTGTTTATCTTTTACTTTAACTAGTTTTTCTTTAAATTATTTTATTATTATCTTTAACCATTGCAGCAAAGGTAAAGATTGAAGTAAATAAGCCTCTTGACCTTGATTGATTGATGTCTTCAATATTCATGATCTTTGGGTGGCAACTTTTATTGGCTAGTTGAGGATGGGATGTACTCTGAAGAATCCTAGACTCAATCATGCTACATGTATACTCGTGTACATCTTTCCTTATATTCTGTCACATGACACCATCATGTCCTTTGATTTTTCCAATGATCTTTCTCTTTCCTTCCCATATTATGCCACGTAAGGGAGAGTGTAAAGCTAGATGTATACAAGAATGTACATCTAACATAATTCATCATAGAATATGGATTGCATCTTCTTCACACCAATGTTTTCGGGGAAAATGGCATGTTTGGTCCTCAATTTAGGATTAGAAGAGAGTTATGATTGTACATATTTCTGAAATGAGTAACAACATCTTTAATGGTCGCGAAGAAATTGGCCACTTGGACATGTTGCACAGATCCACATCACCTGTGTAGGTAACAAAACCAAGCTTGAACGACTTGTCGAGCTCGAGCACCCATACCCACATTTGACTAGTATCTAAGCTATAGCACCTACACCCAAGCTCGATCGAAGCGGTCGAGCTCGAGCACAGCCACCACTTCGGTCAAGCTTGGGCACCTTAGCTCGAGTCCAACCAATTTGGCTAAGCTCGGGACATCGAGCTCATGCATTTCTATTGGGGCTCAACCATGTGACCTTGCTTGGCCCTCCTCTGTAAACATGATAACATGGTCAAGCTCAAGCATGTCAACTCAAGCTCAAACACTCATTAACACTAAAAGAATCTCCTCGAGCAAATTGGAGTTGTCCCTACTTAATTCAGCCTAGTCATGCCTTAAGAATGATCTCGTATGATCCACTCATTTCTAAGAGAGATGCTTGGGTAGGACGATCACACCACCCTACGTGGTGCGACCGTCCAATGAGGAGCTGTCATCTCATCATATAGCCTAACCTCACCCATGAGTTGAGGCCACCTCAGGACTTGAGGTTCTCTCGTTTTCCACCTTTAAGTCTCGGGGTGGCCTCACCTCATTGGGTGAAGTTGAGCCATCTGATGAGGTGGCTACTCATTGGACGACCGCACCACATAGGATGGTGCATCATACCTAAGTATTTCTCCATTTTTGGACAAACTCATCATATTTTGTCTCGTATTCAAATCTCACGATAGGTCTCCATATATTTCATACCTTGTTCTTTATATATTTCCTTCGTTCCAATTATAAAGGGTGAGTTTCATTTTTCTTTTATCCCAATATATAAGCATATTTTCTAATATAGAATATTTTGTTGTGTTCATTTACCAATATACTATTATTAAATTTTTCTCACTTAATATGTCAATTTCTTGAAATCATCCAAATACACACATTTCTCACTTCTTAGAAATATGGAACAATTCTCATGTATTCTTCTTCTTCTTTAAATTCTTTATTAGTTCTAACAATAATTTAATTTTACATACTGGAAATTAAATATGGGTAAACTAGGAAAGATATTGGCAAAATTTAATTTTTCAATGATATTAAAGAAATTTTCTCAATCTGTGTGAAAAACGAAACAAGCCTATATAATTGGAACGTAGGGAGTATGAATTATCTCTTCAAATATTTTCCTCAAAAAATCAATCTATTATGAGGAAACGAGATAGAGGACTCAAACCTGTCCATCTTTCCAGATATTGAGTAGTTTGGGACAACTGCTGAGGATAAATCTTAACTACCTATCACCAAGAAGGATGATTGCCAAGGGAACCAGCATTCAGGTCAGTGAACTTTTGATTTAGAGCTTGTTTGGTAGAGATTTTTGGGGGAAGAATTGATTTTTGAATAGTGATATGATGGGAAGTGTGTGGTTGAATAAGAAGAAAAAATTATTGATATGATGGAAAATATTATTTTATTGAATAATATGTTGTTGAAAATGAGAATTGATTTACTGTAAAATTTGAGAATAAAAAACAAACACCCTCTTAATAACAATTAAGTTACTCATACAAGAGAAGTTGCCGATGTGGAAGTTAAAACTAACCGTTGCTGACGTGTCCTTCCATGTCAATCACCCCACTACTTATTCAAATTCAAATCCATGTCCCCACCATATTAAAAAACCCAATACCCGATTCAAACCATAAATCAGCGTGCTTCTACAAAGAAAATTGGAAACTCAAGTTTTTATAGAGAAAAGAGGTAAAGCAAATCAAGTCATCCTCAGATTCAATTTTTGTCTGGGTTTCTGTGTTTCTTGATTAAGTCGTGGTGTTGGTTGGTGCTGCCATTGCTGAAGTTATGTGATGGAAAAGCTCTACAAGTAGAAGATGAAGGGAATAGAATAAAGAATCAAAGGAGAAAGCTTTAGCTTATAATCAAGGCAAAACGCAAAAGTTACTGGTTGCTTCTCCTTTATTTTTTCAACAAAGTCCTTCCCAATTAAACAGCATCAAAAGGTACGTGCCACTGCATTTCAAATTTGCTGTCGAACGATTCAGTGAGCTTCTCCGTGAACTATTTCATATAATCATCAAACAAAAACTGCTGAGAACCTGGCTTGCCTCAATACACGTCTGTTAACAACAAACTAATTTTTTAGTTTTGGAACCTATGGTGTGTTAAAGGGAACATCTACTCAATCTCCAGTCCTCTAGAAACCAATCTCACTGGTCTTCTCCTTCTCAAATGTCTCAAAATACTGATATATGATAGTGACGGCTAGCAGAATCCCGGTCCCTGAACCAATTGCCCCTATGAGATCAGCCAACACAGTTAGTCCGCCAATGCACATGCCATCAAAGGCTGCTGCAGTTCGTATATAGCGGTTCAGCTCCTTCTGTAGATTTGATTCCTGTTGTCCGGGCATCACCATTTTTTGTTCCTGAATTTCATAGAAATACATGTTTTGGGTTGCTGAGGATACATTTACAAGAGAGATAATGAAACTTGGATACTTCTTACTCTATGATTGTGTCAACTGACAGACCCATATCCAAGAAAAGTAAAGATACGTAGGTTTATGTATATATGAAGCTGATGAATGATGATGATTAAAATGTTTTATTTTTCATGTAACACATTATTCTGGGAAGTAATTAAATAGGGAATACTAATAATCCTGAAATTCATGGATGAACATGATATAACAGAGAAAATATTTGAATTGCACATAAATCATACCTTTAGCTGCTTAGCCACATCTCTAGCCGAGGATCTTGAGACCTCAATGCACGTTTTTCAGAACAGATCACATGCTGACAGCATAAATACAATATAAAATAGTCCATGCAATGGATTGGCCAATATATCCGACAAGCTGGAAAACAGCAGTAATGAGTATAGGCCCAACTAAAACAAATAAGTTCAATCCATCGACTGAAGTATACAAAAAAAATATATTAGTTAAACGGGCAGCTGCAATGATAGAAATAAGGGAAGATTCTTGATTACCTTGATCATGCAGATGCAGTTATGGAATGAGCAAGACCACTAACAGGGACCGACTGGCCAGATTATTCAGATTCCTTCCACTTCCCCAAGAGGTTCACCAGAAAATTCCCACCATATCTCCTATACAGCAACTGTATA